CTTATCGATATAATTATATAAGTATAACACGTAATTGATCGACCTGCGATTTGTAAAATGTTGAGACAAGTTTAAAATCACAACCTTCAACCTTCAGCAAAAATCTGCCTCTAAACTCAAAAAGGAAAAATTAATTTATCGCGATAATTATCGGTATCGCCCCGATTTCGATCATGTAAATCACAGCACGCGGCACGGAGCGCGTGCACACGGTTTCTCCTGCTGCCCGGCCGGTAAGTAGATCCGGACGTGCGCAGCGCGGAGAGATACAGCTCCAGTGTGGGAGAGAAAGCGAAGCGGTGGAGGGAGAGAGAGAGAGAGAGAGCGAGAGGGAGAAAGAGAGGCTGCCCGGCGGAGGTGGTGGTTGTAGCTGCCGGAGTAACGGAGAGGAGAGACGGAGCTCCATGTATTACCATGCCGAGATTTGGACTTTATGAACTACATGCAAAACCTCCAAACCTATGAGCCCGGCGTCAGTAGAGGTACGTGAATACCGCTGCTTTCATTTGCGCGTAAAAAGCTTCGGCATCTGTGAGGAGAAAAGTTGAAGGAGGTTAGTTCGGCCGCTTCTTATGGAAGAAACGAGCCGCCGCTTCTTTCTCTGGCTCCGGGAACAAGTTGAGCCGCAGCGAAAACACGGGTTTCATGTCGGGCTTCGGTGCAACACCGAGTTTCAGTGAGTCCTGTTCACACTGGGAGAAGTGTTGAAGCTGGTTTGTGTTTGAAAGGTGATTTCTTTTTCTTTTCTTTTTTTTTTCTGGAGCAAACGGCTCGTGAAGTGAACGGCTCTGGTTGGGGGAGGGGGTCAGAAATGAAAGAGGCTTAAAGCAGCTAACTTTCTTAAAAATGATACTTTGTGTTTGATCAAAAGAAATCCAGCATCAGAGGGGAAACTTTAAAGTAGAGAATTCAAAGCATCTTTTCTGTTTGAAGTGTGAAACTAAGACACAAGTTTTACTTCTGAGTTTGAATTCCTCTGTTTTTTTTTTTTTTACAATGGTGGTGCTGAAGCAGATGGTGCTTTTGTACCTGCAGGCGACACTTGAGTATTTGAAGGTGCTGTGAGCTCCACTCTGTCACTTATTAACCGCACCGATAACCGAACCCAGCTCGGTTCATTCTGACACGCCAAAAGTAAATAATGTGGCTTTTTATTGTACTTACTCACACACAGCTACAGACATGGCAACGTCCTGCTTTTATTTGTCTTTGTATTGACCCCCCTCCACACACACACACACACACACTGAGTCTGATAGGTTGTAAAAGCTGCTGTAAAATAATGAATGTGCAGTTTTCTTAGTCATCTCTCCAGTGATTGCTGCTCCATGAGATTGCAAAGATCCCTTCAGTGTGTTTGATTTTAAACACGGCTGATTTTCCTGCGGCAGAAAAAGTCTTGTGCCGTTGCAAGTTGTTGAAATGCAAAGTTGCCGCTACATGTGCACATTTCATTAAATTGCTAAACCCATCGTGGGCGATAAGGAATCTAAATTTATTGCATTTCCATGGAAGAGAAAAGGGAATGCAGCCCCTAAATGTGTGCTCTTATGTAAAAAATGATGTTTTTGCATCAACAGGGAAATTAAAGATTTATGTGTTTTCATAAAGCCACCTCTTCCTCTGAGCTTATTAAGCTGATGTTTGGATAAATGAGGCACTGCTGTTATTAAATGCACATAGTTGCCATGTGGCTTTGTGCAGACATGGGGAGCAGAGCAGAGCATCTTGTCATCTGACCGACTCCTCTGCCTCATCCTGTCCACATGGAGCCTATTTAGCTATTTATCAGCTCAACCATCGCATGTGATGACATTTAAAATGTGGGGTAGAGCACAATGTAATAAATGAGTAAGGTATGCAGCATTAAATCTGACATGGTTGCCCACACAGGGAACAAAAAATGACTGAATGTGGAAGTTAACTATTATTTTTTCTGTATGATCATGACATTAACAATTATATTTTGTGTCTTTCCAGGTGGTTCTGTGAAGATCACGGTACGATAATGGGGAATCACTTGGTTTCACTGCTTGTGCTGCTCCTGCAGCTGCTTTGTGGTTGCGCAGGGAAGCAAAGGATGGTGAGGGCTGCCTCCATGCAGTTCACCCACTCAGTTTACAACGCCACCATATACGAGAACTCTGCTGCTAAGTCTTATTTAGAGAGTCATGCCAAGATGGGGATCTATATCACAGACCCAGCCTGGGAGGTACGGTACAAAATCATCTCTGGAGACAATGAGAACTTATTCAAGGCTGAGGACTACCTGTTGGGTGATTTCAGTTTTTTGCGAATAAGGACCAAAGGAGGCAGCACTGCCATTCTGAACCGGGAGGTTAAAGACCACTACATGCTGACTGTCAAAGCTTCAGAGAGGAACACCAATTTAGAGTGTCGCACTAGAGTAAAGGTGCAGGTACTGGACACCAATGATCTGAGGCCTCTCTTCTCACCAACGTCCTACAGCATCTCTCTGCCGGAGAACACGGCCATGCGCACGAGTGTGGCCAAGGTCACGGCGACTGACGCAGACATCGGTACGAATGGAGAGTACTACTATAGTTTCCGAGAGTGGACGGACATGTTTGCAGTTCATCCAACAAGCGGCGTGGTGACACTGACCGGCAAACTAGACTTCTCTGAGACGAAGCAGTACGAGTTGGAGATCCTTGCAGTAGACAGAGGGATGAAGCTGTACGGCAGCAGTGGCTTCAGCAGCATGGCAAAGCTAACAGTGAGGGTGGAGCAGGCCAATGAGCATGCCCCTGTCATCACTGCAGTAACCCTAGCCCCCTCTGATACAGACCACGACCCGACCTATGCTATTGTCACAGTGGAGGACAATGACCAGGGACCAAATGGGGAGATAGCATCTTTGAGTATTGTTGCTGGTGACCCTCTTCAGCAGTTTAAGGCTGTAAGAAGCAGCCCCGGGAGCAAAGAGTACAAAATCAAAGCAGTCAAAGACGTTGACTGGGACAGTCAGCCTTTTGGATATAACCTTACTTTACAAGCAAAGGACAAAGGCAGCCCCCCTCAATTCTCTTCTGCTAAATTAGTGCATGTCACGTCTGCACAATTCAAAGTGGGTCCTCCTATATTTGAAATGGCGGTTTACAGAGTCAATCTGAGTGAATTTGCCCCTCTTCATACACCTGTCACTATGGTAACAGCAGTGCCAAAGTACCCACAGATAAAATATGGTTTTAGACACAAATCTGACAAGAACAGATTCACTATCAATCCAGATACAGGCTTAATCAGCACAGTTGGACCGATCAATGCTGATGTTGCCCCCCGATTTGAGCTAGATGTGATCACAAGTGACACAAAAGCTGCAACAAAAGTCATAGTTGATGTGATTGATGTGAACAACAATGCACCTGAGTTCCAGCAGACGTCTTACAATGCCATTGTGGATGAGAATGTACCCATAGGGACCAGTGTGGTAACTGTTAAAGCCACTGATGTAGACAGAGGTGAGAATGGCTATGTAACCTACAGCATTACCAATCTCAGCCCTCAACCATTTGTCATCGACTACTTCTCTGGTGTCATCAGCACCTCAGAAGTCCTAGATTATGAGCTCATGCCCAGGATTTACAATCTCAGAGTCAGGGCATCAGATTGGGGATCCCCTTTCAGGAGAGAGGTGGAGGCATCAGTCAAAATAACACTAAATAACCTGAATGACAACAAGCCCCTGTTTGAAAATGTAGACTGTGAAGTGACTGTGCCAAGAGACCACGGTGTCGGAGAGCAGATTACAACAGTGTCTGCCATAGATGCTGATGAGCTGCAGCTTGTACGGTACAAAATTAAAGGTGGGAATGATCTCGATCTGTTCGAACTTAACCCAAGCTCTGGCATGCTTTCACTGAAGCACACGCTGAGCGAGGGAGAGGCAGCTAAAGTGTCCTTTCATAGTTTACAAATCATTGCGACCGACGGAGAACACGAGACTCAGCCAATGCTCATGAACATAACTGTGATCACGGCACGCAAGCCTGTCCAGTTGAAGTGTGTTGAAACTGGAGTAGCCACCATGTTGGCTGAAAAACTACTTCAGGGCAGCAAAATCCACACTCAACCTGAGCCAGATGACAACTTTATGGATGTTCACTCAGTCAACAGGTACTCTCCTCAGTTTGCAGAATCCTTCCCCAGTGTAATTGAAGTTAAAGAGGACCTCCCTGTCGGGGCTCGGATTGTCCATTTAAGTGCCACAGACTCAGACAGTGGCTTCAACGGGAAACTAGTGTACGTTATCTCAGGAGGAGACACTGAAAGCCGCTTCATAGTAGATATGGAAACTGGTTGGCTTTTGGTTTATTCTCCCCTTGACAGGGAAACAACAGATCATTATACCCTCAATATTACAGTTTACGATCTCGGCATACCACAGAAATCCTCATCACGCCTCCTGGATGTTAAGATCCTTGACGCCAACGATAATAGCCCTCAATTTTTGCAAGATTCCTACTCAGTTGAAATAAGTGAGAACACACCTGTTGGGACAGAAATAATCCAGGTGGACTCAACAGACAAGGATCAAGGAGATAATGGAGTTGTCACGTATTCGATTTTGGGAGGCACAGATAATTTTGCAATCAATAAAGACACTGGTGTGGTGACTGTGATGAAGCCACTGGACCGTGAGCTCAATCCAGTTTATGTCTTGAAGATTACAGCACGAGACCAGGCAGTGAATGAGCCACAGCTAGTGTCCACTGTGGCTCTTAAAATCACTTTGGAAGATGTGAATGATAATCCACCTAAATTTGTCCCCCCTAATTACCGCGTGAGGGTGAGGGAAGACCTTCCCATCGGTACCATAATCATGTGGCTGGAGGCTCACGACCCAGATATTGGACCCTCCAGTCAGGTACGCTACAGCCTCATTGACAACGTAGACGGGAATTTCGAAGTTGACAAACTCAGTGGTGCTGTGCGGATTGTCCAAAACCTCGATTACGAAGCAAAGCAGGTGTACAACCTCACGGCAAAGGCTAAAGACAAAGGGAAGCCCATATCCTTGTCATCAACCTGCTTCATTGAGGTGGATGTGGTGGACGTGAATGAGAATCTGTACAGGCCTTTGTTCCGGTCATTTGTGGAGAAGGGATTTATAAAAGAGGATGCTCTTGTTGGGACTTCAGTGATGACTGTGACAGCTGAGGATGAAGACGGGGGACGAGATGGAGAGATACAATACTCCATACGAGATGGATCCGGCCTGGGGATATTTACCATCGATGAGGAAACTGGTGAGTCTCTTCTCTCTGTGTCACCTCAGAGCCATGTGAGCTTGTGTTAATTTCTGAAATAAGTTTGCATCAGCCTGAAGTGATTTGCATAAGGAAAGTTTTATGCAGCCGGGGTTTATTTAGTCATGTCACGCTGTGGAACAATGAGCAGTCTTCCAGTAGACGGGTAAGGTTCCTGATTCCAGTCATATTTCCTCTTTGGGAGAACTGCCGGCAGGAACAGATGGAACAGCTGTCTCTCAGACCTGTGTAGACATTCCTGAGTAACTGTTGTGGTCCTAAGGAGATTGTGGGAGTGAGCTCACCGTCTTTCCCCCAGTCAATCTCTCACTGTGTAAATACACACACTCCCTCTGAAAACAGTTTAAATGTATAAAACGGATAAATCTGTTAGACCTAAGAATATAATATTCTAATGGCATTTAACACATGGCTTTTATAACCGAACATTGCACTGACGGTAAGAACTTTGAAGGTTGTGAGCTCCTTATTTATGCAGCTGAAAATATGTTAATAATTGCTCAGCTGCCTTGAATGATTGTAACAGCTGACTCAAATTAGTTCAGAATAATCAGTCTGGAATTTCAGGAGTTTCAACCCAAAAACCCAACAATCACCTGATTTGGATGTTTTGGACTTGGCTCGCTGCCCTCCCCCCTTCTAACTCAGTAACCACATTCTCAGACGGCTTAATGTGATTTTTTTTCTTTTTTAAAATTTCCCTCTGCATTATACATGTTTAATGTCTAAATGAGGCTGTGAATTTTAATGCATAATGCATTGATTTCTCTTTGCACATGTAATCTCAAAGGTTCCTTATTTGCATAAAAAGTAGAAATTGCAGCTTCTTAGTCTGCTGCTAACTTTTGCAGTTGTTAAATTGGTATATATAGTTTTTAGTTGAGTGTTTCCTCAAGAAGAATCTGAATTATTTAGTGGGTTGACAGGAAATCACCTCAGTGAACCTGTTGGGAAATAGCCTACTTTCTTTTGCATGTTAAATTTAGCGTGAGAAGATGAGCCTTTATGAAGGATACATCCTCTGTGGCTGTGTGTCAGTTGTGAGGTGTTTATATGCCGCAGAGCTTGTACGTCTGATTTTATTAAAATGAGATGCTGGGCTATCAAAAGCTTCAACTAGTGACTGTGATGGCTTCATGCAAGACTTGCTGTTCAGTGTAGATTTTTTTCCTCTTAATGTTTTGAATTGAATGTACAACGGATGTTCTGATCAGGATTTTTTGGGCCGATCACCAATTGCTTGAAGTAGTATTGGGTGAAACGGATCACCGATCACGGGCGTATGGCCCTGTTTAGGCCTGATCAAAATGCCTCTTGGGTGATTCACTTATGGTCACATTTATCTTCCCCCGCTCTACACACCACAGGGCTGAATCCTATCCAGAATGTTGTCAATAAATGTCCATTATTACTGTTAAAATGTTCCTTTTTTCAATTCAGCGCCACATTAAACTCCTGTATCAGCCTGTGTCTGTGTCACATGTTTCATGTGCGCAGTCAGCAGCTGCAGGAGTGATGCGGTGCAAGATTTTAAAATGGAACTATATGAGCAGGTTGACTAAGTGGAAATCTGATATTTTCACATCACAGATAGATGACGAAGAAAGACGTTAATAAAATAGAAAGGAGAAATGTGCGTCTTGTTCGCACCACGCAGCATCTGTCCTGCCAGGCTGTGACAGGCTGAGGCTCAGGCTCTCACCCGGGTGTCACACACAGCACACTGCAGTAGAGGAGGTTATACAACCCGATCAGACAGACCACTCATAATAGAATCTATATGCAAATAAATATGTACATTACCTTGTTTGCTAAGATAAAATGTGCTATAAAAAAACTACACAAAGTTAATAACGTTTCTCTCACTCAACAACTCTGAAAAGTGCATGATTTTAAAGGGAGTCTGGGGATATTCCGGAACACACACATCTGCTGCTTGTGACCACCCAGAGAATGTATTAGAAGTTGAATTTTGCAATATATAGTGCAGATTTATGATGGACTGCTGTTTAACTGTGTTACAATCGTGCCAGCGACTGTCTAACTCCAAATCCTGCGTAGGTTACGGAGTCAGGGACTCGGGTTTGATCTTCTACTTAATCCCAGAGGCCTACATTAAGTGATTATCAGGAGGTGCAATGATAGGATTGTCCTGGGTTGGGTCCTGTTATTATGGATTACATCTGAGGTCAGTAGACAACTAAATACAGCCAAGGTGGTAATGCCCCTCCTATGATTTCACTAGATGAAGGGTGTGGTTTGTTCGGCCACCATATGCATTTAAAATATTGTGCTCCTAAAAGGAAAATATAAGCACGGGTTCACCCCCCTCTATGTACTCGATGCTGCAGCTGCATGTTGTGAATCTTAACCAGAATGTTTTAAAATGGTTTAAATTAGAAAACAAATGAAAAGGCGGAGAGGAAGGAAAAATGCCAGGACCCACACACCTTCAGTTTAGGAATTTGCTTTTCACAGTGGGAACTGGGAAGGAGTGGATCCTTTTCCTGTTTTACTTGACGCATATAATCCTAAACCCTTACACATGTGTTTGTTAAGAACGATTGCACAGTCCTAATCTGTGCTGTAGTGTCTTGTTTCTTCTATTACCACAATATAAATCACTATCCTATCGGCCATTCCTCTTATAGTGGCGTTCACAATAACACAGAACCAACAACACTACTTTGTGGATAACAAAGTGTTGCTGTGGAGAGCATTGCACTCTGTGGTTGCTGATGCAGGAAGACAGAGACTGATTTTCATAGAGTAGGTGTATTTAACAAATTCTGAGCAGAGAATGCACTTCAGAGCAGGCCATACTCGCTACCCACTTATCTGCCAAACTATGCACACAACAAACAAGTCTTTTTTTGGTTTGTGAGACGTAGCGTTTGTATTTAGAAATGGTGTCCACGATTGCTGTTGGTGTCATTTTCATTTATCCGAATTTAAGTGCAAAGAAATGTTTTAATGCAAGCCACGGCCTCTTTTTCTCTAGATATGACTGCTTTCTCTGTCAGATGGCTCAGTGGGTCCATGGCAACTGTTTGCCCAGACATTCTCTTTGTTATTAAAAGCTCTTTGGCCACTGGCTCATTGCCATCTCAATTTAAACTTGCTCTTATCGAGACTCTTCACTGGGCCCCTGCCCCATGCTGTAGACCACATTTACCATTCCTCACTGCAATCTGATAATTTGCTAAGAGTCATATGACTTCGGGAAGATATCTCTAAGCAATTTAACTGAGCCTTGATAGAGTAGAAAGTTTCCAAGTGGTTTTTTGTGTTGTTATGTTCGCCAACTTTGCATTTCAGCAGAAACAAAGCAAGCTGCTTTCTAAAGCTATTCCAGCATTAGCTCTGAGCCCTTTTTGACCATTGTTTAGAAATGTATTCACATCACACAGTTACCCAGAAAATGTCCTGCAGTATGCACCACCATTTTGTTCTTGGGAGGAAGCATGGCTTTACTTGTGAGGGCTTGTATACCATAAGTGGCTCGCTACAGGTGTTTGGGGTTGTCAACAGATTGACATCTTGTTTCTATCACCCATTTCCTTTTAGGTAGAGACCGTAAGCTTGAGATGTAAAACTATTTAAAACTGTGTGAAAAGATGCGGGTACTCGCTGGTAAATAGAAGTTGGTAAACTGACAGTATGGCTGTGGTGGAAATCCAAAAGAGCAATGCTGAGAAAATGTGGGTCAGTAGTGGCGAAAGCTGTGAGGATTATAAAGACCACGTATTCATGTGAAAACACATGGAGATCAGCTTCCACTGCGAGTCAAAACAGACCTGCAACAAAACAATGCTTATCATGATGAGCCCATTACCACTCCTCAAACTACGCCTGGATGACATCAAACCTGACAGAGTGACTAAGAGAGATTGTGCAAACCAGGAAGCTGTGATTTAATGAATCAGAAGTTAAGACAGTAATACATTTGCAGGAATATGGGAGCGTTAGAGGAAAAAGGGGCAGGAGCCACCTCCAGGAGAGACCTTTTAGCACTTTTGAATTAAAAATTGGGCAAGTTAATTTCATGGATCCAGTGATGTTATGTGAAAGTGAAGTTTAAACTGAAGGATTTGGGACTTTTGTTCTGTGGTCCAAAATAAAATCTAAGTTTGTTACGTAGTTTAAGGGTCAGGGAAAGATGATGCTTGACTGAAGATGCATTTAGAGTAAAGGCCCAATTTATCATACCAGCCTATTTTCTAATACACATCCATGCACATTACTCAGTGATAGAAATGTTTGGACATATCACCAAAATCAATGAGTGAATATCAACTAATATAGGTCACAGGGAAATTAATTTGTGCTTCTATACCTGGAAGGAAACAATAACTTGTGTTTCCCACACATTCATTTACTTGTGGCGGCTCAACACAATATCACCATTGACCGCCACATATTGATTTTCAATCTTTTACCATTTCAAACGGGTACAATCTTATTAGAACACCGTGCAGCGCATTGATTCATGCAGATGCTATGGAGCTGGACACACCTGTATACACAACGGTTGAAAGCAAGTTCCTCAGTTTGAAATAAAATGATCCAGCACACAAGGTGACCAGAGCCGAGTGTATTCAGTCTAGATGAGACACAGATGCTGATTGTATAATGTATGCGCTGCCCTTTCTTGTTGGATAATGTATGCATTGCCCTTTCAGTTGAAGCCGTTTGCTGCCAGCACTGCAAAAGCTTTCTTTGTGAAAGCAAATTAAACAGTTTGATGAAAAACGACAAAATTGTATTAGCTTGTTTTTAAGATTTTTGCAGAAGTTGTGCCTGTCATTCTTGCACTTATTTTTCCACACATCTGTTATTAAAGCAAACAGAATCTTTCCATGTTTAGTCCGTCTCTTGTTGTCAGTGATTTGAGATCGTTAAGGAACCACCCCCTTCTGTCCCTAATTTCTATTCAGTCTATATGTCGCAGATAAAAGTGGGACTGCAAAGTGGCACAT